ACTTATGTTCAAAATTAATAAAAAAAAGAAAAAACAAAATTATTAATGCGCCGTTGGACATGTACATTTTGGGATACCCAATTTTAAATACCATATTTCATATTGGCGGCTGATTGGGTGCTTTAGTTTTTGAGCCTGAGGAGATTTTGGATTTATTGTTGAATTTTTTCATAAACTTGCTAAATAAAAAAATCGCATGCCACTTTCCTTTGCATCACAAAAGTTGCATTATTGTCGTGTTTGCATTAGACTGAATTTAAAATTTTTTCAATAATTTAAATAAAAATGTTATGAATGGCAAAGGAATAACAAATTTATGTGAAAATATTTCGTATAATAAAATTTGGATTAATGCGAAAATAATCCAAGAAAAAACACATTTTTATGTTTTTACTTATTTTAAATTTATTTTAAATTTTTTCAGATTACGAAAAAATTTACATGAATTATTTATTTAAGTCCATCAATTTCCACTCAATAAAGTGAAAATCAATTCACATTTTTGTTTATAAAGCGTTCAAAATGGCTATATAGTTTTGTAATTGAGGCAGTGTGATAAAAAATGACATTTAGATGAAATCTTTGAGAAATCGCTTTTAAATGTGGGGATACCACAAATGTTAAAAGAAAAAGTGTTTTATGAAGGCTTAGTAAACATGCATTTGAAAAAATCGTCAAATAACCTATGAAATTTCTACATAGATCTAAACAAAAATGCACTGTAGTATTAAACGAAATTTTATATGAGAATTAAATTAATAAAATTTAAAATTTGAAATGAACATCTTTAACCTGTCTCACCTGAAGATCAAATTCAAAATTTTAAAATTATTAACCAAATACCAGATTAAAATGTAATAACGAACAACGTAATCCTTAAAAAACTACGAGTATACGGCAAAATTCTTACAGTTATGAGACATAAAGAGAAGATATTTGCAACCACCGAAACGAAAATTGTTGTTGAAAAAAAAGCTTGCTTTGTAAGTGTTTCTAAACGAATTTTTAAGAAAACAGATGCTACATAGCATAAGCTATCGTATAATATAAACCTGGCATACCTAGTGATAGAACAAGTGAATATTTTATTATAACATAGGTAATCAATTTTAGTTGGATGAGTTCAACACAATATTTCCTATAGGATTAATATTATAAATATAATTTTTTTTATATGTCTACTCTAATGTAATGATACAAAATATAATTTGTAAAATCCATTAGCATATTTCCCAGAAATAATTTGATAATTAGGTGATTAAGTTTCCTGGAATCACAATATTTGCAAACTTTGTAATTAAATAAAAGTTAATTCAAGGACAACATAATATTATTTGCTACTACAAAAATAAACAAATTATTTTATGTATTGTAAGTTTTGAAATGAGGCAATATTATTCCAAGAGTTGAATTAGATATTATAATCTTAAAAAAAGTACTGGAGTTTTTCCATTTCATTTGGTTTATCAGTTTAATAATATAAAGATTTATTCTACATTTACGTGATATTTTCGAAAATTTTACACGTGGTGGAATTAAATGGTTGTAGCACAACTATGGAAAAAGTTTAAGAATAATATAAAATTATATCGACACTTCAGTGGAAATCATGCAAAACTCATTTTATTATTTGTCGAAGAATATTTAAAATATGCATGAAGATTGTAGTACCAAAAATATTTTTACAAATAGGCTGTTAAAATGAAATATTTCATTTTTGCACCTCATACTAATTCAGTTTATATTTTTGTTATAAAATATTGCCGCGTAAGAACTAAAAAAATTAGTCCTGCCATTAGAAACACCTAGTTTCCTCAGTTTTAAAAACCAAAAAAAGTCAAAACAAAGAAGGCAATATTTTTCAAAATAAAGATTTCTTCAACAATTTTCACAGAAACAACTTGTAGCACCAAATCGCGTAAAATAGTTAATTTTATACATAATTTTTTGGAATTTTATTTTAGTATTTCTTGAAATTTATACAACGAATTTAAACTTTACTTAGAAAATAGAAGTATTTTTTTTTGCTTAATTTTCTAAATTTAGAATTGACAGTCAGTAACTCAATATAACTTGTGGACTACAGATTAAGGGCATTAGGGTGAGAGTGGCCTATCCTATACGTCTACCCTACTCCGTTCTGCTCCCACGAGATATACCCTACTCACATGAGATATAAATTTTCAACAAATTTGAATATCTTGAGAAGTCTAAACGTCTATAGCTCAGGTATTTCTATTATACATTATTCTTACTGCATAAGGCCTTTGGTCTGAAATATTAAGTAGAAATATGGCTTCCATAGTTTGCCAACAAAGAAGTCTATTTTTTATAAAGTATTTTTTTTAAGGAAATCGATAAAAATCAATAAAAATTTAAAATTTTTGTAGTGTTTTTTGAAAACGAGAACCAAAACTGTCTACACTTAGAAAATAATTTAAAACTTATATTAAAGCTTTAAACAAATTTATTTTATTCTTTTCGAGTTTAGCTATAAAGAAAAGTATATAAAAGGACAAGAAATAAAAATTTTTAAATAAAAATTAATTAAAATATTTTCCACTTCAGTGGGCCCTCCATCACCATGATATTATCTTATTGCATAAACGACATATCAATCAATATTAAATAAATCTCATATAGATATTTATTGACCTTGTCTTTAACCTTCTACAAATATTAACAGCTTTCCTTCATTTTTAATTTTAATAATTCTTAAAATCATTTCAATGCCTTTGCTTTAAAAAATCAGTCATATTTTTTATGCTTAAGCATAGTAAAAAACTCAAACGCGCGATGTGAAGAACGTCAAAGAATTAAAATAAATGAATTACTTGTCAAAAATTTATTCTTATTTTTTGTCATGCTCTTTTCTTTATAACTTGACAAATTGTATTTTTTTTTCGATTATTTTTCTTTCTTTTAACTGAACTTAAACAACTTGTCGTACACTTTATTAAAAATGGGGTGAGAACTTTCTTGGTAGTGAAATTTTCTTAAAAAAATATGTAGGAGCACATAATGTTTAATAATATTTGATTAGCAATTATAATGGGTAAAGGGGATTTTAAGGGAAGGTCTTTGAAATTACTAGGAATCTTTCTTATTTTATTAACTTTAAACACAACTCACTGTTTTCTAGTTACTTTGACACCATTAATTTTATTTTAAAATTTTTTATAAAAAAAAAACAAACCACAAAAATTAAAAGACGGACAAGTAAAATAAAATTTCACGCATTTTTACCAACCGCATTGCTTACAACAAAAGAGGTATTGTCTTCACATCTTATTTCACATGTCAATATTTCAATGAAAATTCTTTTGCCCATGATAAAGAAACCTTAACCAACTATTTCATATTGTCTGTTGTTGAAAAATGTTATCTGAGTTACACTTTTGATCGTAATTAACAGGTTTTGTCGAAATTTTATATACGATTATAAATTTTGTCAGACAAGATTTTTTCTGAAACATTAGCTGACAGACTGACAGCAACATTCACACTTTTCCTAAGAATGTAGGAGAATAACAAGTCGAGTCAATTTTAGCTACATCTAATAACAAGATATCTATCGGGTTTATAGCAAGACGGATTTTTTAAAACATGAACGGGCTTTTTTCGAATTCTTATATTTAAAATATTTTTAACAACAGTTGTTGTGCTCATAATTTGCAAACTTGTCATGAATATCGAATTCCCGGAAACGCTGCTTTACTGAAAGAGAAAAATGCACTTTTCTGTTTGGAGGTGAACTAAGAACATGTTTGTTGGAATTTATAATTATTACTTAGAAAATAAATAAAACAGTCGGTCAGGTGCTGATCACGTCAGATTTTGTTTTTTTTTTATTTTTTCCAGAAAAAAAATATTTTTGGGAAAATATATAGCTAAATAATCGTAAAATAAATTGGCAGATTACAGAGGCAAAATTACGAGGTTATTTTATTTTGTAAACGCACCTAATTATGAGTTGACTTTGAAAATATCAAATTTAAATTAAGTAACTTACGACACAACAACTGGAATTATAGTGATTTATTGGTAGACAATTGCATGACAAAATATTTAATAGAAAGTTGTTAAAACTTTAAATATTATAGGCTTTTTGAACAGTTTCGCTTTCAACATTGTAACAAAAATAAATTTTCTAAAAAATTTTGTTCTTTAATTTTTTTATAGCAGAAATTTTGAATATTAAAAATGAACAAAATGAAATGCAGAAAAACTAAGCAATTTAACTTTTAATTTTAATTTTGCCTCGATTGATAAGTACCTACTTGTTGTTGTTAATATAAATAGTGTAAATGTTAAAAAATAACTGAAAAGACATAATAGATTCGTGTGCCATTTTAATACATTCTCTATCAAAAGTGAAAAATTCTTACTTGTAAAAATTCCACTGCAGTTGAGAGCAAATTTTTTCTCTTTTGCCCAAAATAGTCATATATCCATATGTATCGTTACTGATATATATATATTATATACCTACTGAAAACATATAATACCACTACTGAATGGTGTCATCACGGGTACCATACTGCATACACGTGATGACATCCAATTTCGAATGCCAAATTTTCAACAGGAATGAACTCTTCCGTGACCGAGAGACGCAATAAAATATTTTTAACGAGATGCGTTATATTCTTCTGTGCGCTCTGAAACTCAACTTCAACTAACTGACGCATTTTTCAGGAAAATAAGATCAATGCGCGCTGTTTAACATTTCAATATTTTTTTTTAACTTTGTGAAATATTTTTTTCCTCCTTTGGCAACCCTGTTACTCCAATAAACAATCAATGTGAAATGAGAATCTAAAATTTATAACTAAAGTAATGATTTGCATAAATTTTTCTTGATGTATTATAAAAAAAATTTGCGATAATTTCATTAATATCTGATTTCACTTAAATTAACGATTAAATTTAATTATTTTACTTGAATTAAATAAAAATTTAAAACAAACTTATAACCTTTTTTTATTCGTTTATTTCAGGGATCGAGTATTTCGCCTCAATTTACAAAACATCAGTCAATCTCTGTGCGATGTAAGTACATTTTATTATTGTTGAAATTTTCAGTTTTTCGCCTACAATCTATATTCACAAACTTTTATCGAAACTGTTATACGTACATTATAGTTTCTCTAACACATAAATTGTATGCCTTGCAACCACCCTTCATAATAGTTTAAAATTATATTCAATTCAGTCCCACGAATTATTTTTGATTATGTTAAAATTAATATCATAAAAAAATAATTTACTTTGCATAATCAAGTCAAATACAATATTTCAAATGAACTAAAATACTACAGACAGTAGAAAAAAATCCGGGAGAAGTGAAAATGTGATAAAACTTTTAAATTGGCTTATATGAGTACATGAGTTCGAACTTTCTCTGTTCTATTTGTCTGATTCTATTAAAAAGTTAAGAAAAATTCTTTAAAAATTCAAACATGTTTTTTATTTTCGAAAAAAATCTATCTGTTACTTTATTGACATTTTAAATTTTTTGACAAAACAAGAGAAAAATATAAAATAATTTGTAAAAGTAAAAATTATTAAAGCAAATCTCGTGACACGCTCTCTTTTATCCTTATGCGGATACAAAAAGAGAAAAATTTTATTAGTATATTTCCCCCTCTTTATAAAAGAAATTCTTTGCTGCAATAACAAGAAAAATTTTTTTCTATTAAGTTTGTTCGTTTTACTGACCGCATTGCATACAGTAAAGGAGATTATGTGATGGTACCAATTTTACGTTTTCGAGGGAAATGCGCTTCTCCGTTATATTAAAGCGTAACTAGACTATTTTTAGAGAAATGTCTGTCGGTACATCAGACAGTCGATCTGTCGCAATATCAGTCTGTCTGTCAATCTGTCGTGCAATGTGTATCCAAATTTCGATTGAACCGTTTTTCATGAAAATATATGCCTGAGTTGACTTTGGTTATGTCACGAATTGATCAACTTTTGTGATATGTCAGATATCGGAAACTAGACTCTTTATTACTAGACGATTTTATATTTTTGGTAATTTTAAAGAAAATATTCAAATGATTAGCTTGAAATTTTATATGTAAGACTCGTTTGACACTGCAAGATAGCACCCAACATTTGGTAGAAATCGGACCAAATTTACATTTTTGTGCCAATAAAGAGTAATAACCAACTATAAAGTAAAATATAATACATGAATTCAGGATGTTAAATCAATGAATTTCTAAGATTTTTGGAAATATCAGGGCTCTGAAACCGAAGTATGGGTCGATTTTATATTTTTTAAGAGCTATTGACAGAATTTATTGAAATTTAATATTTGAGTTTCAGTTTCTACCGGAAGAAACTGACAAACTTTTCACGTAAACCGAACTACAAAAATTAAACTGCATTAAAAGCCAAATCTACTTATTTCCCGGTATGTTACTAAAAAGCTTATAAGCGTCCTTATAATTTGAAAGAAGTAATTAAGGGCATTTTCATAATCTTATGCAACATTTTCTCTAAACTCTCGCTCGGTTATGCGCTGACCACATCAGCTTTTTTAATATGTTGCTCTATTCATCATACACAAACATATACTAAAATATTTTAATGTTTTTGCTAAAAAATAGTTACATACATACGAGTATTTAATAAACATAAATATTATAATCGTTTGAACATACATTACGTATGTGTATTAACATTTCAGTCTTATCCAACTGAATTATACCTAATGCCTTAAAATTCTGGTTATCAAATCAAAACCTGGAGCTGAATGGACTATAATTTGACACTTTCATGCCAAATATCATAGAGTTACCTTAATTTGATTTTTCAATATCAAAAATTACCTCTTCTTGTTGTATCACAGTTACCTGAGTGAGTCTAGAATGCCATTTTACTGAAACTTCTTCTAGGATGTTTCTGCGCTATAATAGGGCACATCAGTTCCAAAAATGTCATTCAGCTAGTTTAATTAAACGACATGCTTTTTTTTTCATTGGTAATTAAGTTTAATAAGTGATTAACTTTTTTTAGCGTTTCAAATGAAAATCAGTAAATAGTAATGTGTTCCCATCTTGTTTAATTTAGTAAATCATTTATATTTATGTCAATATGCGTAAAACTTTGGTGCTGTTATTTCAATTGTTCAGAAATTTTCGCTTTTTGATAAATTTCTTTGTTCTTGTGCAGTGTTATAGCAATAACGACATGAGGCATATTTTTTTCATTTTAATAATATAGGCTAACTGACATGAGCTGGAAGAAAATGAGAGTATACCACTTAAATTTCACTACATTCAAAAATATGATTATATTGCATATGTACATATGTGCGTATATCTTTCCCGCCAAGGAAGTCGAGACTCTGGTAAAGAGTATTAGCTCACATTCTCCGATTTTACGCATATTTTTACTAAACTATAGAATCTTAAAATTAATAAAACCTTATTTACAACTTATTTTCAGTTTTGTATCTATAATTCCGTATAAATTTAGAGATTAACTTGCTTTCAAAAGTTGTTTTTGAAGATTTCTGTAGCAAAATAAACATGAATTGAGACTTTAGAAATAAGATTAAATAATAATAGTCACTGTAATTACCCATTCACTGAAATATGTTAAAAATATGATTTCAAAATAATAATTAGTGTTAAAAAAATTGAGATACAAAAATAAATTTAAATTTCATCGCTTAACATTGTGGTATTCGTTTTGTTTACATTAGGGACTCCAATTCAATGAGTGAATTATGGTTTGGACAAATAAAATCTAAGTAAGATTGAGTCTTACTTATATTATGGAAAATGAAATTTTAAGGCACATGTTTATGTCTCTAAAAGTTTTGTAAAATTGGAATATTTCGCGATATTTCTAAGAAAAAAAAATTTCCACCATTAAAAATACACTGTGAAAAATATTAACTTCATTATTCTCCTATTTATTTTGGGTTTCTTTGATTATTTTAAGTTTCTTTGAAATTTCAAAAAAGATTAGAAAATATTAAACTTTTCCCTGAAAATATTTTTTTATGGCTGTACCTAATGTATGTGTGAACTTATGTATGTACATATATTTTTATTTTTTCTAATTTTACACTTTGGACTTTATTTCTCATTTGAAATTTATAAAGATGACGTGTAAAAGTTAAAAGGAAAGTTCTACCAGAAAAAAAAAGAAAAATTAAAATTATCGTTACAAAGTATGGAAAATGCAAAGAAACTTTTAACTAAGAATATAGAAACGAAACGTGAATCGAAAAACTTTTTTTCTTTTTTTTTTTGGCAAAATACTGAAATCAAATTTTTAAAAAGGTATTAAGGTAATAATAAAAAAAAAGAGTCAAGTTTTATGAAGAAATAAAAAAAAGAGCGAAAAAGATTTCAGCCAACCAAAATTATAAAAAAAAATGCTGGGAAAAACAAGAAACAGAAACAAAGAGCAACCTTACATACGTTTTTCAAATAAGGATAATAATATTATTTTCGCTAAAAGAATTTTTGATAACGGTAAATTTACACGTACGATGAAAATTGAGCGAAATTTTACTTTAGTCACAGAATTTTGTGTTTCGCTATCATTTCCATGTTTTATTTTTCTTGTGATTTTTCTTTTATAGTTTTTATTGCTTTTGATAATTTTACATTACTTTTTAATAAAGTCTGAATTATGTTTTTTTTTTTGCGTAATATACTTGCATATTGTACAGAACAAAAAGTTTATAGTTGGCTTACAAAGAGTTTGCGATGTTGTTGTTGCTGTTTTTTTTTTTTATGCCAAAATATCTAACAAGCGGGTCTGCTTGTTTTATTTTAAGATTTTTCTGGATTACGTGTTTTTTTTTTTTGTGTTTGTTACCGAAATCATAAATTTTTGAGCTGATGCAACTAAAAAGCAGTAAAAGAAAATATTGTGTGTTAGTCGAAATATTTGTTGCCAAAATTGTAAATTACAAAAAACTTTTTATAAATTTTATAGAAAAGTTCTATTTGTAATTATGGCTGTATACAAAATTTACAATAGTATTTATGCATAAATGCATGTGAATTAATAATAAGTCAGTAGATATAAATTTCCACCCAAACAGTTGTTCAAAGAAATTATTCAAATAGTTTTAAAATTTTAAATTGAAATTCTCATTTTTTCGAGAACTATGAGCTAGTTTGACACAGCCCAATTTGATCGCAGTCAAGAATCATCAAACTCTTGTAACTTTGATTCGGAAATTCTTTCATAAATCAGCCTTAAGACGTTCCAAATTCCGAAAAAAATCATAAAGGCCATGAAAAAGTTAACAAAAAAATGTAACTTTGCAGAATACAATTGAAAAGGTGTCGAAGAGGTCTACAACAATAAAATCGAAGAAATTTTTGGAAATCATTATTAAGGCTGTAGGTAATTTTTTACTAATCAATTAGGTTCTCAATATAAATATTGAAAAATGGAAACCACAACACTTGCAAAAGCACTTTAGTACCTTTCGTATGTGATCACACCAGTTCACTTTTCACAATCTATTTTATAATCAACTGAATGAGCAAAACTGCCTGACAATGAACTTAAAATTTTTGTTTCTTCACCATCATGAAAAGCTACAAGCCATCATGAATAAAAAATCATCAACTATATAATTTAATAATTTTATACATAAACCCGTTCTCATGGCTTTTTCCAGTTTAATGAAACAATTTGCTTTTGTACGTCAATACGTTATAGATTGATACTATCCGGCTTTTGTAGCCACAGCTTAATAATATAGACTTAACCAACATCTAACTGTAATATTATTATTATAAATACATTTTAGGCAGTAAAAAGGACTATGAAGCCGAAAAGCCTTATTTACCTTATTGAACGTGTAATATCTCTATTGTACGTCATGTATTTCAAATAAATTATTTGTCGATGAAAAAATCACAACAACCCACCATAGTCTGATAATCACAAACCATCTAAAAACTTTATGTACACGTAAAATATAAAAAGAAGAAACTGAAAAAAAGAAATACAACAAATTTAAAAATTTCTGAGAAATTTAACTGTCAATACTTATTTGTATG